TCCTTTATAAGGACATCAAGTACACGCTTCAATCCGCAACTGTACAATAATCGTTTTCGTGTCTGTTTTTACACGCTCGAGTACCACGGGCATGCATTTAAACAAACGCTGTTGTTTTTGGAATTTTTGAAACCACTGGTGGTATTACGAGAGTAGAATGGCGGTTGCATGATGTGTTGTGAATCTTTACGACCAAAGCACACAGAAATTTAAATTACCGACGAGAGCTTCTTCTAAATCATAAGCGTTTCACTTCAGACTCACCACATCCCATTTTTTTTTCTTGGATAGGCCTATATGAACTCGTTATGTATACTGTGTACACTAACGACTTCAACCAGCTTGCCCAAACGAAGCTGAGAAAAATCTTAAAGCCCGAGGCTTTGTGAAATGCAACTGTGAAATTAGGGGAAAGGGCCGTAGACGCGTGACGAGGCGCAATGCAATTCGTAAATAATACAGCACCATTTCTGCCGTGGAACTCAATTATTGTTAGGGCCAATTTGCGACGGCAGCAAAGACGTGTTAACAGCTCTCGCACCGGGATAGGCTCTGTTACACAGTGACAACAGGTTATATCGCATATCATGGATATTCGCCTTTTGAGAAAGTGATCCTTTTCCATGGGTGCTGGAGCATCTAATAACGGGTCGGTCATAAAAAGAAGGCTGTGGCTGGTGCAATAATATCCAAGCTCGTTGAAGGAGTGAGACCGAGCGGCACTTGAAATCCAAAGTGTAGGCGTTCTGCGTAAATGTTTGCCAGGATGGCGAAGAGGAAGAAATAGTCTGGTTTCGCCTCGAGCTCTTTGACTCGACAGTGAGGCCGTGGATCACTAAACAAACTTTAAAAAACGAGGGAAAAAAAGAACTGCAATGTTTATTGCTCTGTGCAATTTTCTTTCTGGACTTGGAACTATGTAAAGTCCTCATACGTCGCAGCGCTCTGTATCTGAAACCATCTTTGTATGTTATTTGAGCGTTTGGGAAAAGTATAGGCATTGTACATTATGTTCATGCACATTGAATGATTGATGTAACAACAGACCCAATAACCGTTTTGGCGTTAAACTTCTTTCTTGGAATTTTAAAAGCACGGTTATAAGTGAATTAGTCAAAGAAGAAAGAAAGAAGCAAAGTCACCTAAAGTTCACGTTGGGAGTAGATTTATAAGAGACCCACTGTCCATGAGAGTGAGGTTTTTGCTCTTAGGGAGTAGATTTATAAGAGACCCACTGATTTTGAAAGTAAGGTTTCGGTGTGGGTTTTCACTCTTTTGTCTTTAGAGATGGGGAAAAGGGGCCAGACCTTTTTATGTGATGTCACGATCGTGCCGGACCTATGATGGGTTGTGATGGTAATGAGTGCATAGTGTTGTGATGGTAATCAACTCATTTATGATAAACTAGTCAAGAATGCAGGGTTCGCACGTGCGCCTGTACCTGGTTGAACCTGCCCGTAGGAATATATACGATCAACGTGGCCAAGGCGGTCCACACGTGGTGGTATTGTTTACATTTAGTGCAATCCAGTCTCATGGGTGAAAAAAGTCTATAGGGAGAGTTGAGCCAACTTCAGACTTTGGAACCAAAATGATCGTTGATTGCGTGTGCATGTGATGCAGCATGTAGCTGTTGTGCTTTGAATTAATTGTCCAAGTGCACTGACGCATAATCCACCATTTTGATTCCTGCAACGAGGCGCTCAAGTCACAACTCTTGCTCCAAAAAGCCCTGGAGGTATCACAAGGGAAGCGCCACCAAAAGCTGAAGATAAAACACCCTTGGCCAATCGGTGTTCCTTCAATAAGAACTCAGCAACCGCTGAGGCAACGTCACGCGTCATTACGAATCACTCCTGTTTGCGGTAATTGTCTGCAACACAAGGACGGTCTGGAGCAGTCGATGATACTGTGTGGTTATTCACAATTAAACGTTACTTGCGATTGACTTTACAAGGCATATTTCCATCTACCTAGGGAGTCTCTCTTGTCATACCCCACAGTTACAATCGCTGGCAAAATCACCAACACTCGTATGCATGTAGGTGCGCAATTCTCCTTCCAAGCGGCCTACAGAACTAATCGCCGTGCACACCTGCAAGTCTGGGCGAGCGCGCCATATCGCGGGTAATGTTTAAAGACGGATCTCCGCTTCGGAAATTTGCCCTGCCTCTCCGTGTGTACCGACGTCGTCACGGCTTGTTTGGTTTGTACCTTCTTCGGTAAAAAAAAAAAAAGAGGAGAGACGAGACATGACAAAGTCCACGGTTGCCAGAGCTATACGGGCTCTCGCGCGTGGGCGTGGGGTATCACTTCGTCCACTCGAAATGAGTCTAAATATCTCCGCACTTGCTTATGGAAAAGAAGGGCTACATTTCATGTTTCAGCTAAGCACACGGTACTGTTATGTACAGGGCTCCCTAAGTCCATCAGTGGTAAACCAAGACAATTCATTTTTAACTTCGGATTTGTGTGTGAAAATATGGTGATACAGTAAAAGAAATGCGTGTGCGGGTCCAAGGTTATGGCCCCCACCGTAAAGCACGCGTACGCTTTATCAGAAGAGATATCCCCGCCCTATTTGGCAACACATGTATGCCATCTCATGGCGCTGTGGCATTTAACACTGGTTATGTTTCTATGGGAGAGTGTAATTGTAAGCCCGTGATTTGCAGAAGTGGGCATGTGGGAACGGTGAAATTATCCACACTACTGTTACATTTCATTGGCGGATCCCATTCCGTCTGTACGACACGCAATACACCGATTGCACCTCGTAAGTCACGTGACCTATAGTGGGTATCAAACATCAACAAGTACGGGTGTCCCCCGTGGGCAAAGCGTGTCATCAGTTTACCCCCTCCCCCCCAAAAAAAATATGAACAACACTTAAAGCACACATTGCTACGAGAGGACGCCATGTTTGTTGATATTTTATAAGGTCGCCTAACTTAGCGGGGCAATCGGTCTATTGTCTTTATATCGTCGAATGTAAAGGAGCCACAAATGTACCATTTCATTTGTACGTAACTTTACCGTACTCAACGAGGCCCAAACAGTTGAGAATGTAGAAATGGGACTGGCCGGATTGTCGGCCTAACTACACCTAAACATGAAAAATACATCGTAAGTCTATCTTTACTTCCGCAAGGTGTTTTTCATAATTTAGGTTAAAATTTGGACAGTGTAAAGCGCGAACTTTTTAAATATATTTACGGGCAACAGTGTGACAGTCACATCATCGTTTGAGGATGCCAATATAGAGTCCATTGCAATTTGCATAGTTGCTACTCCAAAAAGTCCTCAAACGTGAATTTTGGATGTGATACATATACCAATAGATCAAACCTTTGCTCGTGGTGAACCTGACAACCGTGATGAACACACTCCACCGAGGCAAAACAAAGACAGAACGCATTATTTTAAGAGACGACATGTATTTAAAAAAAAAAGACTCCCGGGAGATGAGTGAGCAGAGATGGCAATCTGACAGCGTCTCCAGTGGCCGTGTTCTGCAGGGGCAGACACGTTTCTTCACGGGTGAGATGCCGCCGTTGGCACGTTCGCGTTTGCCGATTGGTATCGTGATACGTACAGTGTTTAATGGAGCGCGCAGGAGCGTGGACGGTGATGTTGGTCGATACTTGATTGGCAGGCTGTGAAAGGCAAGCCGAGCCAAGCACTAAAGGATGCTATTGCGTGGATGCTTGACTATACCCATTTCGCTTATTAAGCCGTTTTTTCCCTTTAATGCTAAAAGGGCCGAGGCACAATTTAATACCTAAACCATATTTACCAATATGACCGCAACATACGAAAATTGTTTCCCCATTAAATCTTAACAATTTCACATACTATTAAACGAAAAATGTAACCTCTCTCCAGGGAGAAACGCAGAATTGCTGGAAATTTTAATTTGCTGTCTGAAATTTCCGAGTTTCCTCGGTAAGCGACAGTGATTAAGCAAAGAGAGCAAACCTTTCTCAGAAATGTTTTCAATGAGTAAATTTTGGGTTCACGAACTAAGCAGGGAAGCAGAGAAACCGAGGAGTCAGTGTCCTCCTTAGATGACATGATAACAACAACGCCCTCTGTTGTTGGGGAAAGCAAAGCATGAACAGTTTTGAGTTTTTTTAAATGTGCGCAATTCAGTACACTTATCCTCCCAAGAGGATTTCAAAAAGCTTTGCTATATTGAAGGAAATTTAAATTTGCAAAAGGTGCATTGGGGGAAACTTCATCGCCTGGACCCGTTAACACCAACTGAATACAAATCTGAAACATGCTCACCCTGCGAAATATCCAACTTTTGGAGATACTTAACGCCTTTACTTGGTCTACACGAAAACGACGGTGATTTTGACGTCAGAAAACTTTCGCAGCAAGACTTGCCCCAGTTGAAGTGTATTTCGACATTTCAAACCTCGCAGCACAAAACTGATGGAATTTGCCATCGATTCGGTACGTTGGTAGGCCTATATGCGACGACGTTGCAATTTAAACCACATCCGTTTACACTGGCCATTGGAACTAGACACAGTGCAGAGTTCGCGTATGAGCCAACTGGCGTTCGTGATCAGTGTGACAAATAAACTAACCAACCAGACAAACAAACAAACAAACAGCTCTGAGGAGACGCCATCGCTATGATGGCATCAAACAAACTTGTATATTCTTACACTTGAGGTGCGCGCGCAGACTTGCAATTCACAGAATGCCTATAGGTCACAGAGGCGCGTAACCTTTGCGCACTTTTTGTTCGAGCGTGGTGCCTCTGCAGTTTTGGCTTCACATTTTAAATATTCCTGGTTTAAATAGCCTATACCCACTCATATTCGCCGTTGAAGTATGTTCACCCATTCCCCCAACAAAAAAATCCCATGAACTATGTGCAGTGCAGTGGTATGTTAACCTCCAAAAAGAAAAAAAGAACTACACGCACATTCCTCAAACCTCCAGCGGTAAGACAGTACTGTTTTTTTCGTTTTCCATTTTAACAGGCGGTGCTGAGGGCCCAAAGAACAAGCAGAGCAACGAGAGAGTTTACACGATCGTGACTCGGATCAAAACCCAGCCGTCAATTCTGATCATCATGCCGTGCCTCGTGGGACTGGCGCTGCTCGGCCTCGTGGCGGCGGGCATCAAGCGTTGCGTCCTCCATCGACGGCTGGCCCACATGGTGGAGCTAGTGGACCCGGAAAAGTTGAAGCAAGATAAGGGGTACACCATAGAGAATCCCATGGTTAAAACCAGGTCAGTCGTAAGAGGAATGTTATGCAGGGGGGTTGCTTATACTCTGTTTTGCATCGTTGCTATTTTTTTTCGGTTCAGAGGGGCGTTGCACAGGTTTGAAAAATACACAATGCTATTTGTTTGAGCAGCAAATTCTGAATGCATGATTTAAAACTGAGTTTTTAACCAAACAGCCACCAAACCAGAATAAATGAAATTGCGTCCTGCAAGTGCACCTGTTTCTTAGGATATATATATATATAGGCTACAGGGTTCATTTTCCTCCTTTTTTGCAGAACCAGGGGAACCCCCTCCCAAGTAAAAAGCGATCTACATTGAAATGTCTATCCCTCCAAGATCTGCCGTGTATTTGTTTGAGCGCTAACACTCACAGAGCACTGGTCAAGGCTTCTTACCAATGTGCACACGTAATGACGTCACACTCGAAAGCCCCTCATTGTACGATTTCTTCGAAATCCTATCTCCACTTGCCATGATTTTGCCGGTTGGTTGCACTTCCTGTTATTTTCATGTCATGGGATGTCTCTGTCCTTCAACGCAAAAGGTCTATTGAAACAAACCATCCAAACTGATGCGAAGAATGGGCCAAAATGAAAGACAAGACATCCATGATTTTGAACAGAGTATGCTTGTGGCTCACCTTCGAACTTTCTGTTCTTTGAACCCTTGAAAGCTGGCCACTGTTTGGGGTCCAAAGGGTCTTTCCTGGTCACTAGTAATTTCCAATGGAAATTGCAGGATATTTCATCACCCGTTGGCACCTCATTTCAATCAAGGTTTCTTGAATGAATTCAAAACGAAAGCGTTAGACGGGAGATTGTATAAAGGTTAGATAGTTTAGTGTGCCGACAAGCTGATTTGAGTTCCTCGCGGGTGGCTTGCTGGTGCCGTAGATTTTGCCCACCCAACAACGTTGCCTCCATATTCTACTCTGTTTCATGATCACCTATTGTCCGAGCTCTTTGGCACGATGACCCATATGATGCAAAATATGAGGCGAAGAGAACCCCCGCCTCAGTGTTGGTCATTGTTTGATCGGAATCTCGGGAGATTGTTTTACAGACTTCTGGGGGGATGTGTTAGGTAACAATAGTCTAGAGTGTGTATAGGGATTGGACGTGTGGGGGTACCCATCGGCCCCATATCGTGCACGGTACCCGATGACTGGTGCCCATTTGAAGGGAGCAAGTACTTTTTCCTGATAGTAATGACTACAGTTCAGCGAGGGAAAGAGCGCAATCCAATTAGGTCCCCAGATCAAGCATTGCTGGGTCCGTCACTGCCACAATTTTCGATTTTATCGTCAAATTGTGAGTTGGCAATTGAAATAAAAATGGAGAAAACGCGGTCTTCTGCACGCCTTCCGGTCGTGACCTCGAGGCACGAGACACGAATAAGCGGAACGTTTTCCCTAAAAGCTTGATAAAGTTGGCTGTGGTTATCGGAGCCTGGCATCGGCCTTTTTAAAAAAAAATGGGACAAGAAGACACGCGTGTGACCCGGGCGCCGCACGTGAGATTGAGAAGGAAAAGAGTTTAACGATCTGGCTTTGTGCTTGATCACGGCTTCGAAGTAACCGCGTAGCCAGGATTCTCAAGTCAAGAGGCGACGAATTTCTGCTTTTTTTTCATAATTCTATTAAGTCCGTGTTTTTCTACAAGTGTACTGAGGACAGCTATATAGGGAAAAGAGACAGAAAAGGGAAACCATACGGTTATTTTTTCAGCTTCGGGGTATGAATGTCTAAAGATAGCTGTAATCAATTTGTTTACACACAGAAATTCAAAATGCACCTTTTGTCTTAGTTAGCCTTACTTTCAACTTTTGTTTCACTGTTTTAAAGGGTATATTTTACGTCCTTTTTGGTTTTATGTTAATGAGATTTCCACATTCATGAGCAAAACTGTAATGCTATCTCAGGAAGAAAGCCTCAAAAAAGTCTTGCATTTTTGTAGATTTTGCTGGACTCAGTTTGTTTTTCTTTGCTGATTATTTTTTGTTTATGTGCCTAGTACGTTTTGAGCTGTTAACCTTTGTTTATTAAGCAACGTTTTTCCCGCTAAAGCAAATTTGGTGCTTAATTATAAAGCAGTTCTATGAAATTTGTCCCAGTGTATACAACGAACACGCACAACATTGAACATACACAGTCTACAGACACGGGACACCCAAGTAATTTACTAAGGCATTGTGGGATCTGTTGCCCATGACCGTTCTCCCCTTTCACAAGCGTGATTATTTTTGTTTTATGGAAAAGGGTTATCTGCCAGAATTAAAAAGAAAAACAAAAACTAGAGAGACGATTTACGACCCATGTCGTGATGTTAATTCCTAGCACTAATGATAAACGAAAAATATTGGTCGATATTTTGATAATGAATCCCCAACAACCAGTCTGGTAGTGTTCTGTTTTTTTAATGATCGTTTCATGATGGATTAAAAGGGATTGCTTCACATGGTCAGATTTCAATCTCTTCATCAAATTGAATCCTATTTCTTTCTCCATACAAGTCCTCTCTTGAGTAAACAATATGTACAAAGAAAGAAAAACGCACTTCGCGAGAGATACCGGTTTGAGTCGAGTTGTTGGAACACCGAGACGGCTGATAGGGTCCCTTGAAGTGTTCCTCAATGAAGTGCCACCAAATAGACTCAGTATCCCAAAGAAGAATGTCTACCTTCTTGCTTTACATGTAGCCCCTTCTTAAACTCGATTTGACTGTGGCAGCCTCTTTGCCGACTTTGTGACCAGCTGGTGTAAATGGGACCTATTTTACAGGTTTTTATCCGACGCATTAGCCTCGGTTCTTAACCGTTTTTTTTGTATGAAACAATTAAAATCCTTTCCTTTTTCACAGACGCTCCTACCTCGAACGGCAGATGGACCGGACTCTCCGGAAGGTCAACAAAACGGAGAGCACCAACAGCAGCAACAGCAGCCGAAACACAGCCAACAGCAAGAGGGACGCCAAGGTGCACATGGAGATAGCCACCATCTCCGACGGCTCACTGCGCCGGCCAGGCCGGCCGCTGCACCGGTCAGCCTCGGAGAGGGTAGCGCCCACGTGGCGGAGGAGCAGCGCGGGGTACACGCCGTCCTTGCGGGCCGAGTGCCGCTGCTGCTGCCGCTGCGCGGTGTGCGGTCGGAAAGGCCGCCCTCTCCGAAACGGCAGCGTGCCACTGGAGTCCAGCACCGCGACTACAAGACTTTGATATATATATATGACTCAAGGGGTCTTCCATCACTCTGTTTGGCCTCTGTCTCAGGTTTCGTCTGAATGTTTACCCCTGACTTTAAGCTTATTAGCTCAATAATAAGTCAGATTGTGCCAAAAAACATCGAACTACAGGCAACAGAGCCAAAGTTTCACTTTTAATACTGTATACCCCGGTTCTGGGATCGATTTTTGAGACGAGGCTTCAGACAGAAGTCAAGCTGAGTCTTTGAAAAACCGCCTTGAATGCACGGCCCAGGCACGCCATAAGAGGAGCCCTCTATCGTCAGAATTTGCGACAGATGCGTGGGACTTTTTATTTTCTTTTGTGCTATTCAACGTGAAGATCAAAGATTCTAATTGCTATTTTTTTCTTCAACTTTTTTTACATTTGATTTTGTAAATAAAAACCAAAACGAATTATGCAGTAATATATTTTTCTACTCTCTTCAAGGTCTGTCAGTAGTGATATACAATATGTGAAATCTACAATTACTTTAATGTGCCTGTTGAGGCGACAGTTGCATTGCCATTGGTACTCCAGGCCGAAATGAATTGGAGGAGAGTGTATTTAATATCAAACTTTATCAAATACGGTTGCAACTGATTCTCATACTTTCAATAAAGCATACATCTGAAAACTTGCCACCGAACATGGTAGGCTGAACGGTTTCCTTTTCAGATGTGACTTCTTGCCTGTAACTGAGTATTCACGCCTGGAATATCTTGTCGACATGTTGCAACTCACAGACCCGGGGCGGCAGAGGAGGGCCATAATCTTGGACCCAAAATGGTCAATAATGTACGCCTTAGGTTCTCCCAAGTTCAGTGTTCTGGATCAAACTAATTTTAAATTGGATCGAGGTTCTGCAATCAGAATGAACTCGTTTTTTTGAACTCGGTCAGCTTAAACACCCATCTTGAATGGTGGATGTACCCTCGTCGTTGGTGGCGCTGTATACAGCGTGGACTTTATATATTGTAGTTCCCTTCCATCCCTTGTTTGTGGAGTACTTTACCTCTGCGTCGTTTCCAGCTTTGACTTCGTCTCTAAACCTCCAGACAATTAGACAAAAATAATAACCTCTCCCAACATTTCAAGATGTGCTTTGCGTCGGGGAGATGTAAACATTTAATAACAGTCTTTGGCCCCTTACACCGACCTATATTCATGAGCGAGCTTGTAATTTGTAAGCTCTCAGATAATCACCGAGCACACAGTGTTATGAATATACTTCGGTGTAGGGGTAAACCCAGTTATTAAAAATTAATTACTTTCCAAACATTGCCTTCGTGGTCCCGGAGGTTTGATTTAGTCGAGAAAGTGGAAAGGATATAGAGAGCTTATTCATCAAGTTGGAGGCCAAGGCGGTAAACGAAACTAGGTGCGGTCTACGTTTATTTTGAGACCTGGTACGTTCAGCGGCTCTACGAATGCCAGAAAGAAACAAAAAATAGTGAATGAGTGAACATTCCAATCAATCTTGCGTTTGTAATACGATTATAACATCAACAATGCTTTCAAATAAACAACGATTTACGATGACGACTCTTTTGTCCTTGTGGGATTGTCTTTGTTTGTCAGTTTTTCACTTGACTTTACTGTAGGACGCCCTTTGCTGATTGAGTGTCATCAAGCATTTCAATCCAGTGTTAACAATAAGAATAGTCTCCGTCTTACGTATTTTTATTTACCTTAAGCCCATTTTTCTGAAGAAAAAAAACAACCAAGACATGAAATGGAGGTAAAAAATAATTGTGTATTGAAATTTCCCCTTTAATTAAGGTTATTTGTGGCGTGAATTCTACTTAGTGACATGTCTCTTCCAACATTTTGTATACTCCTCTGAAATTAGAAAAATATATATATAATACCTCTTGTTGTGGGCTCCAAAATATCAAACAATTTTAATGCTTGTGTGACAAATGAGGGCGCTCTTGCTATGATGCCGTTACAAGAAGAAGGTGCGTATCAGCGGTTATGTTCAAATTGTTGACACAGTGTAAGCTCATTGAAAATATTTGAAAGAACAACTGCTTCCTTGACCTACTGTCACAAAATGAACCCCAAACCAATTACAACCGGAGACAAAGTTTAGTTCAGAAATAGATCTGACACAGAGATTTCCACATTTGCTCATAAATATGCAAATTTGTATCTACATTCGAATTACAGATGCACCCAAATAGCCTAATTATGATAATTTAATAGCCCGAAATCGACAGTGAGAGTAAATTGGACACCGTGGGACATATACAAATACTGCACTGAAAGATTATATTGACTGAGTCCTTTAATTGTTAGCCTAATAATATTGGTCTTTACCTGTCTTTGGTTACACTACTTCACGGGTAACATCTTTCCAATATGAGGATGTTGATCATTATACAAAACCACCCAGACATCACTTTGAAGGATAGCATAACACTTCGAATGTTTCCATTTGGCCCTTGGGTATAATTATAATATTGTTTCAACTGGGGAGCGCTTGCAACTTGCACCCCCTCGACGGTTGAAAAGAGCCATGTTTGTGGGGCGTGATCATTTTGTTGGTAGTGACGCGAACGTGGCGCGTCCATTTCAAAGTCGTTTTGTGAACTGGCGACGAAGTGCAGTTCCTACCAAAGAAGCCTCAGTTGCTGGAAAAACTGCGCCCTCTCTTGGTCCGGCTCGGGCCTTATCGCTGCCCACTGGATGATGTATCATTACCCACAGGCTGTTAATAAATGGTTCAATTGGCATACCACTGTCTCAAGGGGTCACTGCTGGGCAAGTTTGAGCTGTGACCATTTTATCGACCATAGGTCGATTTGGTCGTGTATTCTTTACATAATAAATTTCCTGCGTACCAGGCAAAATCGACCAGTGGTTGCCAGGGAGTCGTGGCTCGAACTTGCCGCGGATATCAAAACTCTGATCGCTGAATCCACCATCTACACGTACACGTCAGTGTGATATTACTGGAAACGGTTCCATCACTAGGCACGACGCACTCCACGCCTCAATCTGGCGCCACTAAGTGAGACAATTCAGATTTCGCATCGCAAGTCAAGGCAACAGGCCCCCGGCGGCACTTACACAACGGAAATGGTGAGCACGTGGGCAAACAATACAGACAGCTCAAGAAGGAACACGCTAGATGCAAAAGAAAAAAAACGGATCAACAGCCCGCCTGAAAATCGAATTTTACTACGCCAATCCAATTTCCCCCTCGTCTGCTCTCTCAGACACACACAAAAAATATTCGACGTGTATAAAAACCCGACGACTGTTAAGTGCCCTGAGTTGTCCTTATATACCTGATTGCAGCGAAAGGATAAGGGAATCCAATGTGTACATTATCACTATTGGAGTTACAGCTGACGACAGAGAGGCGTCTGCACACACCTCTGTACCGTTTTCGGGTTCAGTGGCATATTCCTACACCCTGCTCCACCCCCTATTCGTGAGTGACCTGAAGTCAAACATCACGAAGCCTTTCTGCATTGTTCAACGGAATGATGATCTACATCGGCTAGCCACCTTCGTTAATCCCCCGAACTTAAACCACAGAACAGGCCATTAGTAATATTCAATCATTCGTACACCTTACCAACAATAGACCGCACAATA